TAGGGTCCCTTTTAGGGTCCGTTTTGTAATGGTGCCGGACTTTATTGGGGACCTAAAAGGGACACTAATTTAGAGAACTACCCTCTTCCTGCAGACGGAAAGAAGGCACTTAGAAGAAAAGTCTTACAGCATGAGCCCCCTAAGCCCTAAACCCTACACACTCGAGACCTCTAAACCCTAAACCCAAAACCCTAAACTCTAAACCCTAAACCCTAAACCCTAATCCCTGAGCTAAACCCGTCAGAGTGGTTCTGCGGCTGCCGGGTCATTCTGGCAGGCTCAATGAGACCTGCGGCAGCCGTCCTCAGAATCTGTCTGCCCTGACGAGGCTTTAGGGAGGGATGTCTAGGGGTTGCAGGGGCTTAGAACCCTAAACTCTAAACACTAAACCCTAAACCCTTAAACCCTTAAACCCTCAAACCCTTAAACCCTAAGCCCCTAAACCCTAAACTCTAAACCCCTCAACCTTTTGGGGCTTTCAGGCCTGGGGTTCTGGGCCTAGGTTCCAGGGTATGGCGTCTCATGAACCCTAAGAAGTAGTCGCGGGGCACTTGATCGCATTCTACTTAAAGGATCATGGGACTTAGTAAGTTGGGTTATAATTCAGGTAACTGTACTTATATTTACTTATAACCCCAATTAAGGGACTTAAAACCTTACTTACTANNTCCCATGATCCTCCAAGTATGCAGGCTCAAGTCCAGGGCATAAGAGGTCTCATTTTGAGGGCCACAGTGGTGCCGGGCCAATTTCAGCTGGCGCGCTTTAGTAAGTACTGCAAGATGTACGATCTCAAAGCTACTTGTTGTGCAGATTGAACGGAATTCATCGCGACGGAAGGAAATGCCAAGATGAAGCATTGGGAGGACTTATTCCATGAATCTTCGTCATGCAGCGGTATCTTTCCACAACCCAAACTCAGCGCTGCGCGATGCGCAGCTGCTTCCGCATCATCTAAGATGTCAACAAGACGGGGCGCGTTTCCGTGTCTTCCATAGTAATCGACATACGGCCTGCATGTGCCTCCTATCGACTTGAGTGCCAACGATGCTAAACCCTAAACCCTAAA